CTGAATACTTTGGATTACTTGATTTTCTGTAGAGAAGCAAAGACGAGGAAATCTTCACATAAGATGTTTTATCTGTTAAAAGAAAATGAAAAGCCCAGACTTTACTTAAACATATTAAAAATATTATTGATAGAAGAGGAAGAGACACGTCCATGCAGCATCGATTAGTCCTGTTAAATCCTGTTTTAGACCTGGTTTAGACCCAGTATTAGTCCTGGTTTAGACCTGGTTTAGACCTGGTTTTAGTCCTGGTTTAGTCCTGGTTTAGACCTGTTTTAGACGTGGTTTTAGTCCTGGTTTTAGTCCTGGTTTAGTCCTGGTTTAGACCCGGTATTAGTCCTGATTTAGACCTGGTTTAGACCTGGTTTAGACCTGGTTTTAGTCCTGGTTTAGACCTGGTTTAAGACCTGGTTTAGACCTCGTTTAAACCTGGTTTAGACCTGGTTTAAGACCTGGTTTAGACCTCGTTTAAACCTGGTTTTAGACCTGGTTTAGACCCGGTATTAGTCCTGGTTTAGACCTCGTTTAAACCTGGTTTAGACCTGGTTTAGACCTGGTTTTAGACCTGGTTTAGACCCTGGTTTTAGAGGTTTTAGTCCTGGTTTTGGAGACCTGGTTTAGACCTGGTTTAGACCTGGTTTTAGACCTGGTTTTAGACCTGGTTTAGACCCCCCCCCCCCCATGTAATCCATGTATTTCAACAAAGTAACTGTAATCCAATTACCACTCACTGAAACAGTAACTGTAACTGAATACACTTACTCATAATTTGTACTCTGATTACGTAACTCCGGTACATGTAATCTGTTACTCCCCAACACTGAAATTAGATATACGTTTAATGCCATGCTGTGGAACATTTGGGGTAAAGCAGGTTGTGGACCCTCCTCCTGAAAGTTTATATCGTGCAACTTTAGGTTTCTGTGTCAATGTGCCCAATAGTCTGGAAAATACAGTAATGCCACACTGTGAAACATTCTAGACAAAGCAATAACATCTCCAGTTTGACAGAAAAGAAAAGTTACGCAGAGCAGATACCTAAAAACTACAAAACTCGACTTAAGTAAAATGCTTTATTACTTGCGCTTCGTTATGTTCCACCGCTGATGTAGACGATAATGGGCGGCAAAGAAAAGTTATTGTCACCGTGTCAAAGAAAATTCATCTCAATTGTACTGAAATCACCGTTTTATTTAAATAACCGCAATTAGAAAAACTGCAAAGCTGCAATTACTCACAAGGAAGCCCTAATACAATGTCCTCGGCACAGAAATAATTAGCTCGATATCAAGGGCTCTTGCGTCGCCAAAGTACAGACAAATTGCAAATCTGTCTGAACATGTTATGGAATGTATGATTCTTGCAGTAGCCGCAAATAATTTAAGTCTCCTCTCAGATGTTTGTATTGAGTTTAAAGGTCTTAAATGACACAAAATGGACTCTTGTGTGGTTTAATCCCTGTTAAAATGTTGTTACGTGGACAAACACACGTGGATCAATAAAGTTTGTCTAAGTCTAAAATAAAAAGTCTAAAATATTAGGCCTTTAAAATGTGTATTATTAAGAAGCTCTGTTATTCTAAAATACTATCACAATTAGTATAAGTTAAAGAAAAACTGGTTAACAGCACTTGAGGCCAGAGGTAAACAAAAGGCTATTGTGAAAAGTAGCGTGTAATTAACATATCAATATTAATAAAAAGAATAACAGTATTTTTTCTCAAATGTTTATACTGTGTTTAAAGGTCCTGTATTACACAAAATTGATTCTTGTGAGGTTTAACCTTTTGTTTAAATCTTGTTACCTGGAGAAACATACCAACTTATCCTATCCATGTATGTTTTTGATGGGGAAACACCTATGGGTCCGGTCAAGTGGTAACGGAGGGAAACAGGGGCAGATTTTTTACATTCAAATGTCTCTTATTCAGAAACTAGAGGGACTATTGAAATAAGTAAAGTATCAGAATGTAGAAAAGAGTTACACTCCAACAGGGTCAAGTTAAACCTGTGATATTCTTTCAAGTTGTTGACAAAAAATTAAAAACTCATGTCGGTAACGGAGGGAATGAAATATGCAGCACTTTTTGGGCAATAAATACAAACAGTGATAACTCTTGGTTCTCACTTACATATCCTTAACAAACTGGTTTGAATATTTGCTTCATATAGTTTTCTACCATATGGTACAAGATTAGGTTGATTAGGTTTTACTTTTTGAGTAATGACATTTTTTATTAAGAAAGGTCATGGTAACGGAGGGAAAATTGTGCAAGCAAGTAGAAGGTGCATGATTTTGCATAATTTGTCAACTTTTTTCTTCCAAATACTTTAATATTACTTCAAAATGAAAGGAAACTATTTCTGTAAAATATGTCAGTCCTTCCAAGCAAATTTTATCATTTTAAATACACTTTTTTTTTTTTTTTTTTTCTGAAAAATCATGTACCTTCATCAACAGTTCAAAGATCGAATAACACAAGATATGATGAAATATATCCATTTATTTACATGATTTGCGGGTCTTTGAAATTTGGGAAATAATTTTTGTTCCATGTTTCATACATGATCTGTTTAAAACGTATGTAACTTTAGAAACAAAAATGGTACAGAAAAAAGGTAAACAGTTTCATAAACTAGAGTACATATGTATCTGTTGAATACATGTTTATATCAGATGCATTAACTTGAATTTTTGGCCTTGCTGTTTACTTCTGCTTGACCGGGCCCTTATAACATAGCTCAGAAAATAGCACAATATGGGCTCTTTAAAATGTGTATTATTAGGAAGGTGTATTATTCAAAAATACTATCACAATTAGTATAAGATAAGAAAATTTGGCAGCCCCCCAGTTTTAACAGCCCTTGAGACCAGCGGTAAACAAAAGGCTATTGTGAAAAGTAGCCCTTAATTAACATATCAATATCAATAAAAAGAATTACAGTATTTTTTTTTCCCCTTGTGGCTGCTGGTTCAAAATCAGAGTTGCCCACACGCTGTCAGCTGACTCCACCACCGCCGCCTCGTGCTCGTGGAGACAGTTGCCGGGGCGACGCTCGGGCTGACGTCATCCCCGCAGTGGTTGCCATGGCCCTGCTGACGTCAAAGCCCCTGGTAGGCGGCTCGGCAAACCCCGTGCCTCGGTTGCCTCGGATACGGGCGTAGGGGGGAGGGGCGGGGTTCGGGGACCCTCTAAAGCCCAGGCATTTCGTCCGGAGGCGGGTTTTCGCAACGCGCGTCCCTCCTTCAGCTGCTGGAAACGGTCTTGAGATAAAACACGCGCACAAACAAATAAGAAAACACTTAAAACTCTAATTGGAGACATTTGTGGGAGTTTAAATGGCTATTTCTTATGCCAAACACAATTTCCTTTAAATTAAGAGGCAGCCATAGCCTCCCATGATGTTAAAACAACAATAAATGTACACAATAAACTGAATTTTATTTATAGGCTACACAATATTGTTTCTTTCCGTGTTATTATGCAAACATTTCCCTATTTATGCCTGAAATTGCCTTTGAGGATTGCTAGCTGTTTGGCAAATCCCAAGTATATGACTGAAAGGTTTTTATTCTGCACTCTTCTCTATTTATGTAAATTTTCTGATGATTATTTATATTTTGATTTGTTTGTTTCGTGATTTTATTTTTATTTTATTATTCCTTCTGTAAAGCACTTTGAATGACTTTGTGTACAAATTGTTCTTTACAAATAAACTTGGCTTACCATAGGATCCTAGGCTTGATTTTTTATTTGTTGTTATGTTTTTATTGTATTGCCCACTGGCCCATATTATATATAAATAGGCTATCTCGTGCCTGTCATGTAATATGGCTTGAATATATTTAATCTAATACACAAAAGCACTCAAGGACACTTATGCAAAGGCAGGCCTAACAATAAAATGTGTGTCATGGGTTTTATTGTTATTATCAAGACTATTGTTCCTGGAAAACTGACCCATATTGAACCATTTAGTGAATCAAAACAAACACCCAAACACTGTCTACTTCCACTCAGACCTTTTCCAAACAACCCAGTTCACAACCTGCCTCGACAATACCCCCAATTTCTACCCGTAAACGACTTTGATAAGCACTATAATTGTAATTTAATGTCAAAATCTAAAGATACGGGCCCACATCAGAGTATCCATAGCAACGTCCTTTTTTTATTTATTTTTTTTATTGCAGACATATAACAACACGACAAAACAACCAATGTATATACAGTATAAGGCAGGCATGTCCAAACTATGGCCGTGGGCCAAATGCGGCCCACTGACAAATTTAGTTTGGCCCTCATGCTTCCAGGTGAATTGGCCCAAATTACTCTGCATTAATTAAAAAATAACTTTTTATGGTAAGTTTTTGAAAATCTACCTTAAAAAAGCTAGTATTGAATATTTTGTGTGTGGTTTTGAGGATCTTAGCGTGAATAAAGTCTCATGGTTCATTCTAACGTGTTAAACATGCACATATTTCAATTATTCACTGTATTGAGCTCCAGTCTACGGCCCTCGATCGGCCCTCTGCTTCATCTGTGTTTAGATATGTGACCCTTAATGAAAGAAGTTTGGACACCCCTGGTATAAGGTGTAAATTAGATTGTTGTCGCATCAATGCAAAGTCCAGTTCACAGTTATGGCAGGGGTGAGGTATGGAATATATACATTCATACACATAAACACACATAAACATGCTGCAATGGGGGTGGTTTGCAAATTAACATACAGGGGAGCAGAAGGAATGAAACCAAAACTAAACAACAGAATAACAAAACAGAATGTCATAAATTAAATAAAGCTATACTATTATTTTTTTTTTTTTTTTTTGATATTGTAAGTTTTAATTGCTTTTTTTTTGTTTTGGAAATATTGTTGGATTTCGTTATTATATTGATGAATATTTGGTTTATTTGGAGCCATGGCAACGTCCTCGGTGTAGCCACATCCACCCGGGCGAAATGCCTGGGCCGCAGCGAGTCCCGCGGGGGTTTCGGGAGGAAGCGGAAGTGTCCGAGGAGCAGCGGGCGGAGGAAGTGGTACAGCCCTTGAACACCCCGAGCCAGCCAGCGGAGCAGAGCGAGCAGCGGAGGACGACTGGATCAATCTCCCATCGTTCACAGCAGAGATCGCGAACGCTTCGACGCTCTAAAATGTAAGTGCGACCGCGGTTTCACTCGGGGAGATCGCCTTTTTTTCCGAGTTCCGAGATGCCGCGCTCGGATGGATAGATGGTTGGTTGGATGGGCGAGGCGTGGGGCTAACGGCGATGGCTCCGCGGCGGCCCCCAGTTCGCGTCCACTGCAGCAGCGGTCGGCTCGAATGGACGGCGGCGGAGGAGGAGGAGAAGGAGGAGGAGGTCGTGGTGCCCATCGTGGTTCACGGGGTTTGGGGTGGACGCACTGGGGGGAGGATTTAGGCCCGAGTCTGGTGCGGACCGAACCCGCGCGGGGTGGACCTACTTTTGCATCGGTCTTCACGGTTGTAATTCACACCTCGTTCATTTAAAAGGCCCGAACTAATCCGATGCCATGCGCGATGACAGGCGGTCCGCGTAAAAGAGGGCAGGGAGCAGTCAAGTTAGGCCATTTTGACAGCTTGGAATTCACGCTGCATTATTTTAACCCGAGTTATTTCACTAGTTTTGTCATTCGGGCTAAACGCACACGACAGATCCGATCTATACACAAAAACACGCTTTCTATTTGAGATCGGATTTTACGCAGAATTCACGCCATTATTGTAAAATCACACCCGTCTTGCCCAAACTGCAAATTTACGTAGATCCTTGGAAGAAAATGCTTACTAGTGAAAATCTATCAATATTTCTTTGTGTAATTCATGTTTTTTTTTTTTAACGATAAATTCTCTTTTGCTCTAAACATAACGGGCCCAGATACAAGTGCACTGCATTGTCTATGGACGCGCTGCTGCCCTACAGTCTAACGCAATTTGTCCATTTCTGTGCAATATCAGTAATTAACACGCTATCTGCAAATAATGACCGCTTTGTACGCATTAATAGTGGAAATATTCGCGTTGGTAATTTGTAGCGGTGGGATGATGTCGCTTGTCCTTAGCTGGGCTCTGTCATGGCGGAGATGGAAGCTAAAACAGACCCTCCCCATTTCCCGATCGCTTCCTTCCTTCCTTCGCGTCAAATGTCGTTTTCGGGCCCGCGCAATGTCATTTTTCCGACGATAAATCTCGCCCTACGATATTCAATCCAACGCGGCGTGCGGGTTTTTACCACCTTAATCAAATCTGGCGTGTGCGTTTTTGTCGAAGTGGGTCAGATCCCGTTTAGCATTAGCGGTTAGCATCGAAGTGAATCATATAAATCCAACGGGGCCGTGCTCGGTGCCGCCTCTCCCCGTCGAGATTTGACTCCCCGAAGAGAAACACTAACCACGTCCCGCGTTAAAAATACCACTCCCGTATCGTTAAAATGACCGTAAATGTTTTTTTAAAGGGCCGTAAAGGCAGGTGGTTTTACGGGGTTCAGCGCTCGGCGGGGAGGAGAGGAGGGGAGGAGGGAGGAGGGAGGCCCGGCTTCGGTTTTTGACAGCGGTCGTCGGGGCGGCTGGATGTAGCATTAGCATTTTAGCATTAGCATTTTAGCATTAGCAGCTAATAAACGTTAAAAAAAAAAAAAGCGCCGCGGGGTAATGATGAAAGGGGACGGGGGCGGACGGAGAAGGCTGTAATCTCGGGGCCGGGGGAAAGTGCACCTGTTCCCGCATAGCCCCAAGGCGACTTCAGGTGCATCCACTAAAATAAAAAAATAAAAAATGATAATTAAGCAGGAGCGGTTAACGCGACGTACCGTACGCGTTTAAAATGGTGTCTAGCTGTGTGGACTCATGTACAAACTGGGATTTCAATTCAAGTTTTTACATAAATTCCATAAAAACGCGATGTAATGCTAAGTCGACGTGTTTATTCGCTGTTTTGTGGGTCTTTTATCGCCTTTATACATATGTAAATGGGGATTGCGGATGCTAAATGCTACGTGAAAGCCTGGCTCAAAGCGGTTCAGGATGTTACCATGGCAGCGCAGCGTGAGCACTACAGTAGCGTCAATAATTTCCTAAAAGCTCATTCAACTTTTGGTTCTCCACGTACATGTCGTAGGCCTACGCTTTTTAGTGATGGTAATGCATGCATTCATCAACAATCATGTAGATTAGAGCCTATAGCGTGATTCGTAGGGTGACCAGACGTCCGCATTTACCCCGGGGCAGTCCCAGTTTTGAGCCCCGTGTCCCTTGTCCCAGCAGATTTATCCGAAACCATCGATTTGTCCCTGTTTTATACAAGAAACGCCCCTATTTTTGACCAATTTGATACCTGCCAACAGTAAAGAGAGGCATAAACTGTCATTTGTCTTTTGCAAAATACAGAAAAGCTGCTTAAAAACAACCAAAACGCCCAAAAAATCTCTACACTGACACATGTTAGGGTCAAGTGCAGAACTATTTTACTTAATTACACACTCGTTTCACCATTTTATCACCAATCACCACAAACTAGGGGTGTCCCAGTTTTTCATTTTGAAAATTTGGTCATCCTAGTAATTGGTTACTATAAGTTCAAATCATTAATTACATTTATAGCCTACTAACAATTGATCCTGTCTCTCTACAGATATCGATTGCCATTCGGGTAGGATACGAGCATCCATAAAACTTAAAGGGTCCATATTACGCTATATTCTGATTTATGTTATGTTTCTTCATCAAAAACATACTCATTTTGTTTCATTCACACATGTTCAACACAGAAATCCTTCATTTCACAACCGGAAAACACTCTGTTCTACTTTGTGATGTCATGTGGTTTTACAGGACGCACGCCGCTGTGTTTTTAAACTCGACTCATTTGGGTAATTTCAGCGCTGGGATTGCCAATCTCTACTGAACATGAGGTAAAAGGTAGCTGATTACTTGATAACTACTGCTTCATGACATCACAAGTTGGAACAGAGCATTTTGAGCTCTGGAAATTTAGACAGACTAACAATGCAGAATTACTCAAACACGTGTGAATGACACAAAACACAACTCCAGCTCTGTTTTTGATGAGGTAACATTATTCTAACGTAACTAAAACCTCACAAGAGACAGTTACATGTAATATAAGACCTTAATCGAGTTTGATAAGTCAGTGTTTATTTGCTGCTGCTCAGAGCTGCACAAAAACAGACACTTGCATAGAGATCGCACATAGGCTACACACCCATTTAATTGTCTTGGCTCCTAAGGTTGCACATGGTTGTTATTTGTCTCGTGCAAGCAGCTGTTAAACAGTAGAGCAAATAAAGTCCACAGTGATAATTGGTTCTGAGTCAATACAGTTTTAGCAAATTGAACCAAGCTGGACCTGTCACGGTAACGAATTTTGAGATACTATATATTGAAGAAAATATAGATTATAATATTAAAACTAATTTATGCCACTGACGTAATGACACTACTGCAGGGTCATCCTCAGAAACCATTCTAAATGTACTACATAGTTACAGAAACGCAAACTGCAATAAATAAATGACAGAGTGACTCACTTTAGTATTTAGTTTGCATCTATGACGAGCCATAGCAGTTATTTATTAAACCCTCCACAGCTCAAATTTGGTTATAGTGCAGAAAAACACTGAAAAAGTCCTTGCTAGTACAAAGAAAAAGTCCTAAGCCTAAATAGAGGAGTTACCTTTTAGTTATTGTTTAGTTCAGCTATGCCCATGCAAATAATGTGCATGCAAAAATAGTAGTAGTAGTAGTTCTGTTGAAATATTTATAGTTTAAAACAGAACGGCAAGTTATGTGGAAACCCTTTTTCCCAGTGCCTGGCATGTGATCCTTATTATTGATTATTTAATTAGTCATTGATTTTTATCTATAATCAGTTGCTCATGTTTAATCCAATTTAGTTGTGGCATATAAAAAAAAAAAAAAAAAAGAGTACACCGCTAGTGTTGTCAAAAGTACAGAAAACCATACTAGTCTGTGCTAAAATTAATATCGAAATCAGATATGATTTTGAGGAAGTATCAGTGCTGCCAGAAATCACATTAACGAGACAAAATTTGAGATTTCCTGAACAGATTATTTTGTGTTGAAAATTACATTATATTACTAAAAATACTAACTTTTTTTAAATCTTCAAGTATATCATAGTCTGTATCGAGTGAATTTTTTTAGTATCAAAAGTTAGTTTGAAATTTTAATATTGTGAAACTATTGCAGACTTACAACGGGTGAATTCAGTGAAAATCAGTTACGGTCAGAACTAATGTAAGATCAAAAAGAAAAAGGAAATGAATTACTGGAAAATTACATTACTAAAAATACTAGCATGTTCAGTTTTTATTGTGGTATCGTAAACGGTATTGAGTCATTTCTTTAGTATCGAAAAAGAGTTTGAAATTTTAGTATCGTGACACTAGAATATACAAAGGTGAATTCTCACTCTTATTAAATGTGAAAATCCATTACGATCAGATCTCATGTTAAGATAAAGAAAGTGCTTTTATTTTGTGCTGAAAACTACAATCCAAGTGCATTTTGGATTATTTTTACCAACCTGGTGTGGGGCTGGCACCTAAAACATTACAAAGAAATGTTGGAAAGGAAATTGTGTTTTATCTGTGTCCTGGAGGATATTAAAGATGATATCTGACATGACGATAGCTGTGATTCATCAGCTGTTTCTATGTACATTTGTTTGTCCCACTGTGGTCCTTCAAAACAGACGGAGAGCAACACGAAAGCCATTACTCAAATAGAACCTGGATCGACCAATAATCCCAGGCAATACTTGTGGAAGAAGATTGAGCCCAAAAGTGACAATATTACAACCTTCTCAAGCAAGAATCAAATCTGGATACATTTTGGTAACTCGTATGTCAAAATTATAAGTTTATACCTCAGCTTAGTATTAACAAATTTTTATTTTTATTTTTTTTATAATCCAGGATTTAGTATATCAACAAAAATGTTTGCTACAAAATGCAAATGGCTTAAAGTGGACCTATTACGCAAAATTGACTTCTCAAAGCTTTTAACCATGTTGTCGTTGTTTCCTGTCGCCATTTACTCACCCGGAGTTAGATTTGGAGTGATTTGCGTGCTGGTATTCGTCCACTGCTCTGTACTT